GAACTGTGTCATCTGGCCTGTTTTTTACTAGTGACCTCGCCGTGCATGGAGGCGCTCCAGGAGGAGGCCTACAGGCCCCCGAGGAGCTGCGATGAGCTCAGGAATGCTGGAATCCGTAACAAGTTGGATTGCTGGGCGCGGCCCACATCTGAAGGCCTTCCCAGCGATGGGGGGCACGATCGAGGCGCTGGATCCCGTGGCGGAGTCAAGGAGGAGCGGGTGATGTCACATCCTGGCGATCGTGATGAAATTGATGCTGAACGATAGTGATTGATTGATGAGACAGCAACCTGTGAATCCATTGAGCTGGTCATGATCCAATGGTTGGATAGTTTATTTGATTGGAAAGCCATGGGGGCAGCCTTGACAATGACCTATGAGTGAATAGAACTGATCCTAGGATCAGTGGGAATCATTGGGCGTGGGGATGGTGACAGGTAGCAAATCACAACAGCGACTGGGGAAGCTGATGGGACAGGCAGCGGATGATCTAGGAAACTAGCCAATAGTGATTCCAAGGGTCCCTGGACAAGCGGTGCAGCCGGGGCTGTAAATAGGGACCATGCAGGGGTTTTGCAACAGCAACGCACCATGGGAGCTCACCTCCGAGCTGTTGTTTTTGGACAAAAATGTAATATATACCTGGCTGCCAGTGGAAATCTTGGAGTACCTCCTTGTGTGTGAACGTCTAACTGCCGTCCAAATACAATCGCTGCAAGCGATCGACTTTGGAACGTGGCAGGGGCCGAGCACGAGAGCGCGGGCCCTGCTCCGTTGTCGCACAACATATGGTGCGTCGATTTGCCCCTTGTACAGCGATCGTGACGTTGCATTGCATTCCCATGGTGATTCGGTGAGTTGCAAGAGGGGTTGGTGAACAGCGATCTTGAGAAGGCGAATGTCAGACCCCTCGAAACACAGAGGTATGTGTCTCAGCGGCGAAGAAACGCCGGTTCGGTGACACAGTGTGCCGATCATTGGCGGTTTGATCGCCATGACAGACACGACACTGGCGACATTCAGAAGCCAGAAATCGTTACAAGGCCTCTCTTGCAAACATTTCAGGACCACTCTGCTGAAACTCTAGAAAATGGTCCCTAAATCCAGCTGCGTATTGCTGGTCGTGGCATGAGCCAGGCTGGAATGGAATGTTGCCCTCCACCTAGTTGCTTCAGAAAATATGTATCCGCTGCTAAACGGCGTTGCCGTCCCTCATCGAGGAGCTGAGCGATGATCGACGCCAATCTGAGACTGTGCTGTTGGTGAAGTGATCTGTTGCCTGATTACATATCATTTGGCGGTGGTGAATAAGGATCGACGTAGAATCTAGGCTGCAAAAGACTGAGTTGGTTGGCGGAGGCATTTTGGCTTCAATGATCAGACTTTTTGTTCACGAATACTGAGTTGAGGTGCCTCGCTTCGGCAGCACCGGTGCGAAGAAGTGGGAGGCCTGGGTCCTCACATTAGTGAGGCAGCAGCAGCAGCAGCAGCAGCTCATCAGCCCTAATTCGCAGCTGCGATGGAGGCTGCTAGAACACGGTTGAATCCGCGTATATATATTCTGGGAGGCCGTCAACAACTTCAGGCCTTGCTCAGACAACTGGTTTGCATCTGCCAGGAATGCCCTTTGCGGGGCCTGCAACAGTTAGCACTGGGATGTGGGTACATCTGATGTTGATGCCTTCGCGCAGAGTTGGATGGGGACCCGCAGCTAGTGCAATCCTCCATGGAGCCTCCTCGCAAGGCTCACCGCCTTCCTTGCCTCGAAGCCAGAGCTGGACGGGGTGCTGCTGGCACCCGATTGGCTGAGCGCCGTGTGGTTTCCCAAGTTGCAGGAGATGGCAAGTGCGGAGACCTTCATCCCTTCCCAACGCGAACACTTCTCCTGGGGTACCCAAGCCAACCTGCCCCCTTACGTCAACTGCGCTGGAATTTGCGAGCATTCCATGTGGGCCCACGGACCCAATGGAAGCGGTCCCTGAGGCTGCCTCGTATGAAGCTTTGAGTGAGCCGGAGGCTCCACCTTCGCCCAGGGGCGAGCCCCCCTCTGATCCATCACCACTTGACCCGGTCCCAGGGGATCACCCTCTCCACAACACTGAGGTCCATGGTCTGTTGTCCACCGACAAGAGCTGGATGGTGCAACAATTTCTGGCCTCCTATGCGGAGGCCATGTTCAGAACAGAATGCAGAATCTGCATGTTGAAGACAAAATTTCTTCGTTTTCAGAACTTGTACGAGGACCACTCATTAGTGCCAATCCCTGTGCAGTGGGCTACCATCTATTGCTACATTCATTTCCTACGAGAGGTGGGGGTTGAGATCGCTGCAGCAGTATTTGCTGACAATCTCCATGATGCACCAGATGTCGGGGCACCCAGGTTTTTCAGCTTTTGACCACGTGACCCGCATCCCCATCTGCGTCTGGAGATGGGCGGCGCCTACCCTGGTGCAACATCACTGCCCCATAACAATCGAGGTGATGATCCGTATCCTTGACATCAGATTGACCACAGAGAGCAGGGCCCCCATTTGGGCAGCGTGTGCGGCACACTTAGACTACATTTTCTTCAATCGGGCGCTGTCCGGCCACTACGTTTTGGTGAAGGATTTTTGGGTGGACGACAGGATCGTTTTGTTTTGGGAGCTCGAGTTCAAGGTGCACAAAGACGAGGCCTCCCAGCTGCTCCACTGTTCATGGCCTTCCCAGGGGGCCCCAGAGTTTGTGAAGCTCATCCTTCACTAGGGCGGCCTACTGGGACCATGCATGGCCAATGCAACATGGGCGCAGATGGACCAAGCGCCCCATCACTTCTATCCGCTACCCAGTAAATCCACCCCCAGATCCAGGATGGTGGCGACAAGGTTCTCCCCGTTGCTGACGCAAGAACCAACCATTGCCCAGGATCCTTATATGCACCACAGCCCGGGCAGCAGGGGCGCTTTGAGCTGCTTCACCTTGGAGGTCACAGAGCGGCGCATCAGGGATAGGGTGGGTGGAAGTCGGACGTCATGTGGTCGTACGTTGGTGTTTTTCGCTCACCCACGGAGTGGGACTTAGGGCTATTTGGATGGATGACAACCATCGCCCACGACCTGCATAAGAGGTTTGGCCACATCTCCTACCCCGGAGGTGCCTTACGTGCCCAGAGTGAATGAGCCAAGTATTAAGTATGGGGACCTTAGGTACCTGGAGATGATTGAGAACATTACCGGGTGGGTTCAGGAGACCGGTCAGGCAGAAATGACCAAGTCGATGAGTTGGAGATGCATGGCATGTGTTGTGTGCTCACTTGAGGTAAGGCAAGCTTGTCAATTCTGGGTGCTTTCTTGCATTTTACACAGGTTTGGGCTAGTGCTGGGCCAGTGGGTGGGGACGGGTGGTGAACGAAGTACAATTGGACAATGACACCTTGATCATGCAGTTGTTGTAGTGTTGCACGGGGACCCCAAATATGCGGGGCCGTGGGAACCATGTGAACCTGTTCCTGTAAAATCCCGACCTGTTCAGCCTCCGCGCCTCCACCAGATACCCAGCGGCTGCCCGGGGCCGATCGCCAAGCGAAAAGCCGATGCCCACCTTGCATCGAACGGGCGCTTGCCCCGCCAAGCCAGCGGTGCATCTGCAGAGAATGTCGGCAGCGATTTGCTAGCCATTGGGCAAGGAGGCGCCCTCGGATCCGACCCATCATGGCGCCTTCGGCCACAACAGCATGCATCCACAGCAAATGTTCCTGTGTGACGATTGAAAACCATGGGAGAAGCGAACTCTCAAATAGCAAGGTGTCACATATTGCACAGTTATGTGAATATCCTGCCAGTATGCAAGGCAGCATCCATTGGTCAGGGCCTGGCTAGATGTTGGATACTTGAACTCGGGCACAAGTTTTGTCTTATTCACCAAAAGGTTAGGATTTCCAGCGATTAGGAGGCAGGGCTCTGTGCATAAGCCATGGGTAGCGATCACACTCGTTTCGTTGACACACGGGCCAAGAGCCTTGAATCTGTTGCCAGCTCGCCCATCAATTCACAGCTCACTCACGCCTCGTTCAATCATTCTTGTCCGTCACAAACCGACTTGGCCCGCCCCGCACGCCCCCAACTTACACCGATGTTGGACGTGGCCCAGAGGTTGTTCCTTATTGGGCATTTTTTTGGTTCAGGTTATACAGGACTGCCTCTGCGGGAAGGTGCTGCTTGTCTGCAACCTCTCACCTGAGAAGGAATTCGTTTCGGAGACCCTGTCGACGCTCAACTTTGCGCAGCGTGCTTCACTGGTCACCACTGGCACAGGGTCGCACGGACAGGGCAAGAACAAGGCCGGCACAATCCTGACAGGTGCAGCATTTGCGCCATCGTCCAAGGCTCGTCAGGAATTGAAGATGCAATAGGCGACATGACGTTGGTAGAACGGCCTTCCCGTTGGCACAGGTGGAAAAGTTTGGAAGACAAGGGTAGTTGTCGAACGAATGTGTATGATTCAAGCAAAAGATTGTAAACCAAGCTTGGAATGCTGAGATGAAGATATCACAAGAAACGTTCAAAGCAGGACTCACGTAACTCAAACACAATGCGCCATTGTCTGCTGGCCAGTCAGTGATGGACATCCAGGCACATCCAAGGCTGCATCTGGATGTAGATCCATCAACAGCTCAACTTCCTTGGAGTCGCGATGCCCGCACTACGCCATCCAAGAGAGAAATGCTGCGAAAATGATCAACGTGCACAACACCTCGTGGACAGCACCTGGCCCAGAACCTCGATATGTCCATGTCACCAAAATCTACTTCAATCGCTCTTCTACTCAACCTTTAGACCATAAATGCACTCTATGGGGTCCCATCAGTGCATGCATTTGTCTTCCTTGCCAATTGATCCTCATCGGCAACCATGATTGCGGCCGACTGGAATGTCAAGGACAACATCAACGGAGTGCCTGTCGACTGCCTTTGGCCAATGAGCATCACAGGAATTCCTTGCACAACACGCAGCCAGATAACTCACACGTACTTGTCCTCGGCGGGTATAACCTTCTTGAGGAACTCGACCATCTTCTTCTGTGGACCACGCCTTAAACTCAGCTCATCACATTTTGTGGACATGTATCACGACATAAACATCCTTTTCATGGGGGGTATTGCAACGGCAACAGCAGAATGCAGAGCACCAAGGAAATACATGCCTGCTTCAACATTGTCAAGGTCAAGATGCTGGTGAGAATCTGCTGTGACTACATTTGCTGTCAAGGGGAAGTTCAGTGCCGTTGTACCTTCAGGCGATGTTGGGACCATGCTGAACGACAATGCGCAGCTACAGCAGCCCCCAGGTCCATAACTCCCCATTCAGCACACAAACAGTGGTGGCAACCAACAGATGAATCACTCAACAATGACGACACTCTTGAGAGTGTCCACTAGAGACCACATGAACACATCGATTGTAGATATAGAGCAAGCCAGTGCACCTCTCTGTTCAGCTCAGCGACGTCCAACGGTGTCTGGTTGTTGTTGTTCATTGTCTTGGGGTCTGCACCTCCCTTCAGCAGCATATCAGCACATTCCACTCGCCCATAACCTGAAGCCACACGTTCAGCATCAATGCATAATGAACGCAGGAGTAATGGAGAGACCCGACTCTAAAGTGTGTTCAGCTGTCAAGTCCAATATCAAGCGAGCCATCTGATGTGTGTAATGTAATCAGCAACTTTGCATACTGTGTACTGGTGAAACTTGTGGCTAGCTTTGCATGTTCCAGAGTAAAGTACGCAGCCTAGCCCACCAGAAAAAGGGTCGATTTGTACCTGCTGCATAGTGCAGAACAGTGTTGCCATGATTGTCCCTTAAGCTCACGTCTGCGCCGTTGGCAAGTAGCTCCTTGACCACATCTGTCCGGTTGAACCCAATAGCAACGCCAAGAGGCGTGATTCCACGGGCGTCCTGAGTTTACACAAACGAATCGATTGTCAACACTATTGGCACTGGTTGCAATCGCAACAGAAAACTGCAGCTACCCTTGGCCTAATGCTCAACTTCTGACAGCACATCTATCCAACATAAAAGGATCGCTAACGTTCTACAGAACAGGCCTATGCAACACTACTGCAGCTTGTAGAAAGCAAACAATCGTCCAGGCCCAGATATTCATCTTCCTTGCCTGTTCTTAATCCACATTGATAGAGCGTCAAGCACCATAAATTTGTGCTGTATACTTCCCCCAGATGGCGCTGCGTGCACGAGTCTACCATTATATGATATGCTGCATATCCGAAGCTGTTCTATGTAAATTCATCTGGAGCAAGCAATCAAGTAAAGATTCCAACAACCTGATTGGAAAGTGCAAGCTTTCCAAAAGAATTCACAGGCTTACAGTTCAATGCCCTCTCCATAATTTGAATGCAATAGTTATATAGATTTTGAACTTCGAAGTTTCAAATGCTCACTCTAGTTTCCTCCTCTACAACTGGCAGTACGAATGCCCGCAATACCCATGTTCACCGAATTAATGTGAAGATGGCCAGAATGAGAAAATGATTTGCAGCTGCTGCTTCTGTCAGTCAAAATAACTTGGGTCATCACAACAACGCAACCACTATATCATCAGCTGAAGCTACCCCGACAGCATTAGTATACCACACAACGCACTTAAGCAGTTCCATCTTCGCCTCTGGAATGAAGCACCAGATGCGAAAATTTTGGAGGGTGATTTCACAGCAGTGATGAAAAATCACCTTCTTGTTCACGTCTGCCCCTTCAGCAGTGAACTTCTTGACAGCCTCAGTGTCGCCAGCCTTTGCAGCGGCATGCAGAGAGTCAACCTTGATGTCTTCCTGGGAAACAACAATGAAACTATCAGATCAATGTAAGGGCAGTAGGTAACACCTGCAACCAAGGTGCCACATAAATTGGGTACTTAACAAACAGCTTGTTGAACATGGGTGCAAAGTGAAACACCATGCCAATGGCACATTAAAGACAACACATAATCAACAACAATAGCTTCATGATGGAAGGCTGTCCGAACTGGTGCACAGTTCATCCAGATGCACACATCAAAAATTTTTAACAGCCTGCCAACAACTGCTTCCCAGCATCGCATTGTTGCCATTTGTAGCTCAACGCACATAACTCACTCACCAGCTGAATATATTGCAGTTTGCCGAATTCATGACTGCAATAGTACATAGTGTGGTACAGTGTGTTGTAAATACCTGTGTATTTGGCCTTGGGACGCTGACCGTCCACAGTATTCATAACAGACAGGCTAACTTGTGCACAACCACAAGTGCACAGAGGATCAATCATGATTGTGGTGTGACCAGGTTGTCACAATCTTGATGCACAGCTCAACACGGTATGTGCCTGGGCTTGTTGATTGGACTAAAAGTCCAGTGCTGTTTGCAAAACAGACACATTTGTCCACATCATATCAGATAGTTGTTCACCACATGCCTTTAAAGCAGAACTTCATGGACACAACTGCATAAACAGAACATTGCCAAACAGAAGCTTCCAACAAGATTCCAGGGCAAGTGCTGTGAGACCAGAGCATTTCATCGCTTCAAATGTGCTGGGGCTTCCTCCAATGAATGCATTCAAATGTCCCAAAGGGCATGGCAGAGAGCTCACCTGTTTCTGGTCATTCTCAGCACCAATATTCAGAGCAGCCATCTTCTTTGAAATTTTGCTCATCAGTTCCATGTCATTCCAATACTTGTCTATCGCCTCAGGTCCTCCCTTTTTTATTTCGTCGAACACACCCTTCAGTTCTGGGTCTTCCTTCAGCACGGCCATCTGCTCCTGGTACTCCGGGGTTGATGTCATAGCCTGTGGCAAAAAACAACCAGAAGACATTAACAAATTCCAAACCTCATGCAGATGAACCCATAAATGCGCAACCACAATTCCTGCAGACAAGGCAGCTGTATGGGCGCTTTGGCTCACATCAATAGCTGGAGTTGGACAGACTTGCACTGTATTGGTGTACATCCTCTGTGCTCTGGAATTGGTGAAGGCGAGCCAGGTGTTTCTGGCTGTACTCTTGGGTCATTCGCAACTCAAAACCCCTTGTCTAATTGCTCCAAACAAGCAAATTTCTCGTCCAATGACAGTCATGGATGGTTGGTATTTATTTATGGCAGGCCTGCAATACCAAATTGAGGCATACAGCAGAGATCATGCAAACAGTTTAAACGGACAAGCCATATTCAACAGCAGGCGACCATCAGTGAGTACAAGGAATCTTTGGTTCATAATGTTTCCCTTACATACAGAACCACACACAAGGGTGGCACATCTCCCCCAACAAATTGACAAGTGACCACTTGGCACTCAGCGCAAGGTCATGATGCAGTCCCTTGCCCATACCAGGATGCCCTTGCAGCTTGATATTGTTGACAGGCATACACTACCATGACATTGATTTTTCCACATTCTTTCTTATCTTTGCATTGCACCCATTTGGAACCTGTGCAAGAGTTCCACACCAGCAACATGCGACAATGTCCGATCTCACAATGGATTCCATTAACGTGTTCCTTGGACAGGAGGACAGCATGCGATAACAAGATTCTAGCATAGTGGAAGAATGTTCTGATAGTGGGGACTTGCCTGCATCCGAAAAATCTGCTGCGCCATCGCAGGATTCTGAAGAATCTTGTTGAGCTGCTTCATGGTGTGTTGGGCATACTCTGGGTTAGCCTTCAGAAAGTCGAGGACCTGCTTGCCTTGGGCAGGGTCGATGCCAGGTGGGAGGCCTACAGGAATCTGACCAGGCAAGACAGACATGGGCATCACACCCATCAGGTGGCCAACAACAGCAACACACAAGCAAGCGATTTGAGCAAGTGTGTGGCCAGTGCACAATGCAGAAAAGCATGCAGACAACCAAATTCCACTGCTCCCATTGCACACATTTTGCCTCACCCATGTTTGGTATTGTGCACCATACCCAGTTCGGTTTTCATCTGGTTGGCATCATACTCAGTACCAAAGTCTGCTAATGCTATTTGGCCAAACACAGTACCCTTGTTGCCATATATGAATGCATTTCAACCCAAGGGCAGACTCACAATAACAAAGAGATGACACATATCATCAGCAGGCATAGCAACTGGTGCACAGTGACAATTATCTGTACCAACAAGCTACACACAGCGATTCGTGGAGGCTGCCACAACAAATATTATCTCAAGCATTACCAAAAAGGCTCGTACAATTTATAAGCACAAGAGGCGCTTTGTCATGAACTCGAAAAAAGAATGTGGGATCGAACTAACACATGCAGTTGGGCTAGGCAAGGGCTTTTGCTCTGTCATGTGCCTACTGCAATCAAGACGAGGGTAAGAGAGTGTTTGAAGTGCCAGTTGCAAGGCCATAATGTATCCCTCCTACAATTCGAACAGAACTCTCGTTAGGCCATATGGTGGGTTACTGTAGACTGTGGCACTGGCCTTGAGACAGACTTACAGGTCACCATCAAAGTTGCTTGCTAGAAGGCACAGCAGCACAGTCATTTGTTCCAGCAACCCTCCTATTCTCTCCTTCCTACTCCTAAAATTAATGAGTACAGGTTTGGTGTCATGAACTTTTTTTCTGGGCGGTTGGCTGATTCCCAGGAACACGAGGGCACTGCCAGCAGGCAGATGCCCGGCAATTTCAATCCATCATAAAAACCACAGCTCGGACAATGTATTTTGTCATTGCTTTCAGTACATTCAAGGGATTGGAGACCATGCATGCCCTCTAACAACAGACCACATGAATTGCATACATGGTTTTTCCATGAAAACAAATCAGGAATTGTCAGAACTGATGTTTGCTCCTGCAAGACTTTACCAAACATCTTGCCCAAATCTGCCACAGCTGTTCACAGTTGCCAAGTTGTTAGAACTATTATACTGTCCGCATTAGCTCAAACATTCAAACCTCTCCATGTACATTATGAAAAACGGATACCAATCCTTCGATTGCATTCTTCTAAGTATGATGTAACACCCCCCTTACACAGGCAAGGCGATGACACACAAGAGTCTGCAAGCAGATCGCCTAGGATAGGTCCGCCAAAACCTTAAATGTCCAAATGGGAAAAAAGTGCTCTGATTAAGTTGACAAGTGGAGGTTTGTGTTTGCTGTACATAACAGGATAGGAATGCCTCTCATACTAGGTAAGGTACAGAAGTAAGGCACCATGTCTGTGCCCACACGACTACAGCTGATAACGGCTTCAGCCGCACACTATTTACGCTTCACGTTGCATAGGGCATCGGCACCTGATTGCCTGGGGTGCGACGGATCGCCCCGTGTGGAAAAATCCCGCTGGTGGCATGTTCATGTGCCCTGATTATGGCCATTCTGGAGAATTTGACTCCGGGCACCCGCCAACACTTCCTGCTTTCAAAATTCAGGGTCCTGTACAGTTGGCCGTACATTTCACCAGGGTTGCTGCGCCATTGCTCATGACCTGCAGCCTTGAGCCCCGGTTGTCCAGCTCCGAACCCTGCTAACAGTGCGCACTCCCACCCTTCGATTTGCCCGCGTTGCCCCAAGAGATAGACGCGCTCAACGGCTGCAGATATCCGCTCAAAGCCGTGCAGGAGGTCGACACGACAGCTGAAACCAATCACTCCGAATAGACGTTCCAACTCAAGAATCCGCTTTCGACCGCAAACTGCAAGTTTGGCCGGAGCACAGGGCCAGAGGGTGGGCTTGTGCGACCGCCACCGCGGGCTCACCTGTGTCCCGTCCTGCAGTGTGATTGATTTGGGAAACTCCGCGTTCGAGTCGAGCGTGCTCTTGGGCTTGATCGGACGCGCTTCGGCCTGCTCCTCTGGCGCGGACGACGTGGCGGGGTCGCTCGACATCTGAATCGAAATCCGGGCAACGCAACACCAAGGCATTCAACCATCATCAACTGGCAAAGCAAGTAACGAGCGGAGCGGCACCGGCACCAGCGAGCGCGCACGCGAGGTAACCATTTCGCCGATCAAGGGCGGTGGCAGACCAGGGCACAGCGCCGATGGCATATTCCAGGCAATGTCCACAGGTAGGCATTCTCCACCCATCACGAACCCTGATGACATCCGCAGAGTCAAATGCCCAGCGGCACGGTGCCCGAGCACCATAACGAATCGCGACACGCTTCTTTGGTCGTTTGCGCAAGCCAAACAGCCCACACAGCCGCCGCAACGGCTGCCGTGGGCCACAGCGATCCTCGAGCGTATGCCCACCTTTGGTGTGATGGATCAGCAGCAGGGGCTTGGGGGGACAAGCAACCACCTGCCGGAGGTTGCGTGCGAGAGCTTTCGCCTCGGCTCCTCGCGATTGGCAAGTGGCGTGCGCGGCAGTCGCCAAAGGTCTGACGAGCAACGAGGAGGCGTTGGGTCCTGGCAACAGGAAAGATCTTGGTGCTGGGTTCGGTTTCTTGTCAGGCACAAGCCGGATTTGCCGGGTGCACTTTTCACTCTCGTCATAGCTGTCACTTTGGCGTCCCAAAAAGGTTTCATCATGCGTTGCAAATTCTCACCCCTCCCTTTTCCTACCATATAATTTCCAGACGCGGGATTGGCGATCAGTTGAATGAGTTTCTGATTTGGGAGACATTGGCGGAGAGTGGCTTTCTTTTGGGTGACGGCTGCTGTGTGCTTCTGCCACTCTTCCACTCAACAGTTTGGACCCATCGCTCCACCGACCGCTCTTCAATTAAGGTATCATGGCACTATGGACACAGTTGCAAGGAGAGGCGAGGGTTGGTTTCAACCGTGGGTGGCCTTGGGAGACATTGACAAGGTCACCAAGCAGCCTTTGTAAGTAGGGAGGTGTCCTTTCTCTTGTGTTGCTCCCTTCACCCCAGTCCAACAGGGGTGTGGTGCTCTTGTTTGAGCCACTGAGCGTTGTGCAAATGAGATATACACTCATGTGCTTTGGTGTATGGAAGGGATGATAAAGGATAATATGAACCGAGAAGTTATGGTTTTGTCCATCGTGTGAGTTGGGCACCAGTAGCATCTCACCAAGTAGCAACAAGGAAATAAGCCAATTTGTGTCGATTCCCAAGCAGAGGTGGGCCCGGCCAGATAGAGTTGTAATGGGAACGGGGACAATGTCCATTCCTGTCCCAGGAATGGACCCGTTCTTGTTCCCATCCCAGTCCGCCCCAGTCCATTTTTAGGCCATTCCCCAGGAACGGATTTGGACCGGATTTAAGTCAGGCCGGAACAGTGTTGGAACATATTCGTTCATATCAAAGGCGGATCCTTCACTCGGGTTACAAAATCGTTGGACTTTCTACGTCGGTCGCGTTGGGTTGTGTGGGCATCCGCCCCACGACGTTGGCTGGCATTGGCATTCGCAAATGCCATAGGCAGGCGCCGGCTTGTAGTAACTGGACACCTTACTGTACATTGACGGGTAATTAGATGACTTAGATGAGTTAGATGTGTTCATCTGAGTCTAGAAATGTGTTAATCATGATCGCCACATTCATCTTGTTAAATGGGTCAATTTCCGGTATAATGAGGTAATTAAGGCAATTTAGGCCATTTAGCCCATTTTTGACCGTTTGGGGCATTATTCCTTGATGGAACTGGTGTGATTATGAACATTATAGTCTATTATGATGTGGTGCGCGGTTATGGGCGGATGGGAGCCGCCACGAAGTGGTGGAGTATACTCCAAGAGATTATGGGGTTGATCCGGCAGTACGGGCACCTGTCAGGTACCCGCATAACATTGGATCACAGGTACAAGCGCCCCTACGGCCATGGTACATTGGAGGGACGTGGTATAGCTTGGGGAAGCCGCCTGGCATTAGGGGTACGCCAAGGGGCTAAGGGACCATGTGAGTGGCTCTCCAAGGGCCGAGGTGGCATTACAGGAGGCCGAGGTTGGCATTACAGGAGTGTATTGGACATTACATGAGGCCGAGGGTGTCATGACGAGAGGGGGAGCGCGCCACCTATAAAAGTGGGCACCCCATAGGCCATTTGTCTCAGTTCGCCGGTGCACTCGATCTTGTTTGGACCAGGGGGCCCACCACTATTGTAATACATTGACCGAAGCTCCGCCATCTGTCCCATTTGGTCGCCATTATCCTGGGGGATTCTACAGTGGTTTCGGAGCGGAGCGACCAAGAGCATCGAAGGGGCGATCTACCCATCTCCATGGCGCACCATGATGGTCAACCACTCGTGATGGGAGAGGAGGAAGCTCGCCAGGCGGAGGAGCGTTACCAGAAGTTGATGCAGGAGGTCAACTAGACCCGCGAACGGAATCAACAACTGGAGCGGGAGATGGCCATGCTGCATGAGGAGAGGCAGGCTGCCGAGTATCGAGGTGACCGTCGATCTCGTGCTCTAGCTCGGGATATGGCCGAGTTGACTGCCGAATTGATTTCCGGTCGTGGAGTGGCACCAATGGGCATGAAAATGGAGAAGCCTGAGACTTATGACGGTGCCAAGCATCGTGATATCGACACATGGTTGTTCCAAGTGGAGGAGCACATGTTGTTGACTGGAATACCTGTTGCCTCTCGTGTTGGATATGTTGCATCGCTGTTGAGGGGTCATGCTGCCATGTGGTGGCGTGAGTTGTGCGAAAGTGGCAATCGAGTGAACGATTAGGACGAGTTCAAGAGGGATCTGCGTCGACAATTCCGAATGGACAATCTGATTCGCCGGGCGAGGGATGAGTTGTATGCCCTTCGGCAAAGGGAGAAGGAGCCTGTGTCGGACTTTTTGCATAAGTTCCGGCAAGTGTGTATTTGGATCGACGATCTCTCGGAGGCGGAAAAGCTGGACAAGTTTCTTCGGGCTTTGAATATGAATGTCCGGATGCAAGTGGAGTTGAAAGAGCCAACAACATTTGAAGAAGTTGCAAGATATGCCGACCGAGCCGACAATGTGCTTACTCGAGTCTCTGGCCAAGGCACGAGTGGAAAGCCAAGTTGGTTCAAAGGCAATTCGTCACATGGTGGATCGAATGTTGGTGGACCGCGGACCTTTCAACCGAAGTCGTCTGGAGGACCAGAGCCGATGGAAATTGGAACAAGCTACGTCCAGAGGAAGCCTTTGACTCCACAAGAGAAGAAGTGCCTTCGAGACAACAAGGGGTGCTACTACTGCCGCAAGGTCAATGCAGGACACTGGAGCAGGGACTGTCCCATGAAGAAGAACAAGTGATGGGGTGCTGGTTTTCGAATCGCGCGTTGCCGCCGCCTTGGCGCCCGGATGGCCGGTAATAGCCCTCGCGGCCTCGATTGGCCGCGGCTCCAAGTAATTCCGTCACAACAAGTCTGGAGGAAGGCAGGGAAACTTTAGTGGTCGTTGAATATCGGGGACAACGACCGGACAACACCCAACTCAATGGAAGGGCCAGATGATAAGGATGGCTAAGTGATGGTGGCGGAAGGGACCAAGATTTCGTCACCGGCTACTCTTGAAGACGCTGGACCCGCAGAAGTGTCAGAGCCAGTGATTAAGTATGGGTCTATCGCTCGGATTGTTGAGAAAGCTGGATCTGACCAAGCAAGAAGCATGCTACGTTTTGAAGCCCCGCGGGTGGACGCCATTCCTAGAAGGGAGACGGTAGACGTGGCCGCTCAGCTTTTTTTCTGTTATTTTCTATCCGTATTTTTTTTCAAGACAAAAAATCCGTCCGTCACTTTTATGTTGTTTTACCGGGGCCGGTTTTCTGTTGCCGTTCATGCCACATCAGCTTCCAGTTTTTTGGCTCTGGAGCTGTCCGTCAAGGGGGTGTTTGCAGCCACCAATTTCTGTAAAGATGTTTTTTTTTCCGTTGCCTTTCCTGGCATTCCGTTGCCATCCGTCATGGACTTTGAGATTCTGGAAGCTTGTCGCGAATAGAGGCGTATCGAATCGTTGCCAGTACTTGGCTGGAGGCAGCACACACACAGAACACATTATCACGGCGTACTATAAATCATAAGTGCGGGCCCTTCCCAGCAGCGATCGCTGCCGGTACTTGGCTGGAGGCAGCACACACACAGAACACATCATCCCGGCATACTATAAATCATAAGTGCGGGCCCTTCCTGGCAGCGATCGCTGCCAGTACTTGGCTGGAGGCAGCACACACACAGAACACATTATCACGGCGTACTATAAATCATAAGTGCGGGCCCTTCCCAGCAGCGATCGCCGCCGGTACTTGGCTGGAGGCAGCACACACACAGAACACATCATCACAGCATACTATAAATCATAAGTGCGGGCCCTTCCTGGCAGCGATTGCCATCGATTTTTTATGGAATTCTGTCGACCTTTGTGGTCCGGTCAGCGGTTCTGTTGTGGGTGCCTATCATCCGTAGACGGTGGCGCGAATTCTGTAACACTTGGTTTCATTCTGTAAGGCTGTGTGGATTTTTGTAGTTGTGTATGCTGATGTCAGTATGGCCCTACCCGTTTCTGTAAAACGCTTTTTTTCTCTGTGGCTCCCTCATAAATTCTGTTGATTGTACAGAATTTTAACGGAGCCAAACAAATTCTGTTGGGGACGGACAGATGGGGCCACCTCTAGGAGACGGTACATGAGGTTGCCGCTGCAACTCATGATTGGGTTGGTGTCTCTGATCAAGATACCAACAAACCGGGATGTGTTGAGTCCGGAGAAGAGAATCTTCTGGTAGACACACGTCAACTTGGAAGTGTTGAGTCCGGAGAAGCAAGTCTTCCGGTAGACACACTTCAACCAGTCTGTCCTCAAGAATCCACCACTGCAAAGGATGTACCTTGCGATGGCGATACATGTGAGATGGAATGCTATGTTGGGAAGTCCGTGGACGAGGCAGAATCAGGTGTGTCAATATCAGTGACACAGCTGTTGTGTATTGCGGGAGAAGTTAATG